CCCGCTGATCCCCCCCCCCCGCCCCCGAGCCCCACCCACCCCACCCTCAAAGGCCCACTCACATCTGGAGGGAAAATGGCATGCCAGCCACCTCGAATTTCTCGATCTCGAAGTCCACCCCAATGGTGGCCTTGTAGTACCTGTCAAACATGTCCTTGCAAAACCTGTGGGGTTGGGGGGGGGGGGGGGGGGGAGGCGGATGAGTGATCGTGTGACCTTATTTACTTAGCACTATTCAATATGCAGTCACCTGTACGTCATTTGGATTAAAGCATTCACCAAACAAACATCATTACAGCACAACGCACAGCACCTCTCTTCCTCTGAGTGTACAATATGCCCATTAAATTACTGTGAGATCAAATGTGGAAACATGCATATTTTAATGTGAACCAAGAACCTGTGATCTACTACACTAGCTACTTAGCTTACCTAGTACAGCTACTTAGAACTACTTATATCATCTAGTATCCAAATACAATATTTAAATGAAAATGAAGTATGTTTGGCCTGCTCCTGGTTTAATGAGCATTCTTATTAATTAGTCTAACTGTAATTAACACTTCACTACTATAAATGTCAGTCTGATCATTCTAGAGTTCTGTCAGAGTCATGGCTAGGTTCTAGGATGTGTTATGATTTTTATTTCCCATAAATCAGTGGGTTGTTCCACAAAGAAGGATTTCTCAGTTAGATGGGTTAACTGAAGTTAGAAGTCATCATCGTCCAATAAGAGTTTAGGTAAGAATCATTCCTATTGGACAAGCTTAAGTTAACCCAGCTAATTGAGAAATCCTGCTTTGTGGAATACCGCCCAGGATACTTTGATATCTGATAGCCACGCCCCTTTCTCAGAAGACGCCTGTCCTCCTTTTGCTTGGCAGGACAGTGCAATAAGCAGGGGCCGCATTGTAGCTGCATTACACCGTACCTGTTGATGAGACATGTCTTCCCCACGTGGAGGTCCCCAACCACCACCACCTTAGACATGGCCATCCTTCAGGAAGGGAAAGAGGACAGATTTTAGGGTTGCCATTTGTATAATTATTACCATCGTCCAAATGTCCACCTGACATTCCTGCAAATCCGTGTGAAGGCAGCCACCCTAGGATGGAGTGCTCCACCAAGGCTGGTCTTTATCGTGAAGTTCCTCAGTAATGGAAGGTATGGGAAAGGCTGCCGCAGAAGGGGGACACTCACCCGGCACTCCTGACCGCACGGTCCTGACAGGCACTTTTTACGTGGGAGTGCCAGTGATCCTTCATCTGTAGGCAGGCCTGAGGAGTGTAGCACTGCAACACAGGGTCACACGGCATCACGCGCCACCACACTGGCTATTATTCTGCCTACATATGGCCGGCGGAACAGGCTGCTCTTGCACTTCCTGCTGCATCCGCCGTACCGCCGTTATTCTGCGCTCAGCAAAAACAGAAGCGACAACCGCTGGGGGATTTTGCCTCAGTGAAGCTCATTAAGCTCATTAAGCTCATTAAGGTGCTACCCAGGTGAACAATTGATTAAACCCCCCTCTCCCCCAATTGCCCCCCTCTCCCTCTCCCCTAGCATCCTTAAAGCAGTTGTGGGGCCCAAAGATTATGTTTACTTTGCTGGCCATGGGACTCAAACCAACACCCTTCTGGGCACAGACACAGATACTGAACCCAGTAAGCCGCACAGCACTTACAGATGGTGACATTAAAATGAAAAGAACATTTGGGTTTTCCCTTCTTAGCTTTTTGCAGAGCTCTCTGTTCAATTATTAAGCTGCACTGAGATGGAAAACAAAGCAAACATGACGTGTGAAAAATCCTATCGGCTAGTTAAACACACAGAATAAAGATATTTAAAGGAAACCCTGCCTACTTTATAGGACCAGCTTTTCAATTGTACACTTAAATCAACCTCTGTCTTAAACACACATCAAATTATTACTTTGAGATTAATTAAATAATTACAGAATCACAGTGTTTCAAAAACAGTAGCATTTCTCTCCCTTGGGTCTACATGAAACTAGTAGAATAGTAGAGCTTGTTGTTACCAGAACTTAATTTCATGGCCATTTACAGACACGTTGATGTCATTTTTACACTCTTCATTCCTGCAGCTTCAGGTTAGGCGAGTCACTAAATGATACAATCTGTTCCTCACCACGAACTTTGAGAATGGACACGGTTTCTTCAGGTCAAGTTGCGGGAGAAGGTGAATATTCTGTGAGTTGATTTCTTAAAGATTACGAATCTAAAGGTAGGAGATCTTAGTGTTGGTGTTTCATGGGGGGTGAAGGTGTCGGCCTACAGAGCAGGGTCCTCACTGAAGACATGAGAAGCGAAAATGGCGGAAGGTGTCCTGGACACTGGCATTTAGAATGAAGGGGCTCCTGAAATTTGCTGCTGACTGCTGCACACAGGTGCTGAAAGGATGGTTTTCACAGCGACCTCCTACCTTAGGAAACTTGGAGACCACCCTGTCCCTGCTCACGGGCACTAGGGGGTACAGCCTCCCGTTCTGCATCTCCTACTCACTGCTGGCGGGAGACCTGACGCGCTGAAGGGGTTAAGGCATAGGGGTCACGTTGTGACACAAAGGTGCAGCCTTCCAGTCTGATGCTGACACTGTGAGCATGCTGCATAACTGCATGAATGAGTGGGTGGATATCTGGGAGCTACAAGAAGCACAATTCCTATAAGCATAAATAAGAAGAAATACAGTGTGCACAACAGCTCACATTAACATCAATTACTTTAATTAAATCAATGCAGAATTCAGAGTACAAATTGCGGACGCAAGTTTCCGTACGTAGACCTGCAGTAAGAGCGGACGATCACCGGAGGGAGGGGGGCAGACTTCCGTCGAATCCTCATAACTTGTGAAAAGCGAAAGTGGGAAACCTACACTCCGCAAAATTCATCTTGCAGAGCCATATGTTAAGAAAATGCTAATATTAACCGGAAACGGGAGTCTATAGATGCAGTCCGACCCGCTAGTTACATACGGCATATACATCTTATGTCTAAAAACATAACGTGTGAAGCTTGGGCATGCAACTACTCACGTTCAGTGGCAAACAGCCTATTATGTTGGAGTGGTTCTACTGCCAGGTTTCAGATTCCGTACCGCGGTGCTTCCAGCGCTGCTGCCTTTTCATCGAATGCTGCCCCAGTCGCCAAGGCAACAGGCACGCACCCGACGCCCCACGTGACACGGATGGCAGTGCCTGCGCGGCGCGTTCTAGCCGGTCAGCGCTGCCGCTTCACTTGTTTAGTCCGGATGTCTGAAGTACTTTCCATCGCTCTGTTACCCCTGAGGACGTTATGATGATAATATGCACGTAACACGCAGCTTATCTGCAGCTCAGCTTGTATACCAACAATGAACTGGTTCATTAAAGTTTATGCCCCCCCCCCCCATAGGATAGATATATAGATATATGTCAAAGACATCAACGTGCAACTGTATTAAAAATATTTATAACTCCGGTTGAACTTCGATTTAAAAATTCTAACTCTAAGCAGTCAAAGTAGGAAATGACGAAATTGCATTAAATTGCTAAAAATGTACTCAACTACATTATATTATTTACTTCAAAGTATATTATTTATTTTGAAAATTTCAAAAGCATAAAATTAACAATTTCATTAACCGTGAGAGATAGTGAGAGATTAGTACATCGCAAAGCCCCTTAGGTGAGTACTGTATGCCATGTAGCGGCGCCATTCACCTGTACAACCACTGCTAGGCACACCCCCTGAGCCCGCTATGCATTCTGGGTAATGCAGTTCTATTAAACCAGCATATAACAACACATCTCCCCCCTTATAAAAAAATCATAAAAATCAACCTATCAAAACATACGTGCCTTGCTTATCTTACCGTAAGACTCTACTTTAAGCACTTAAACATGTAATATAACAAACCTTTGCATTCATACAAATCACAATGTATTTTTTTAGCTACACTTCAACATATTTACAGTCTCTAGTATTCAGCAGCTTTCAATGAGTCTCTTAGGAGGCTGAACAACTCGCTTTGGTCTGCAAGGCGTTTTCACAGGAGAGTGACTCTCATTTGTTGGCACTTCAGGATCTGCATTATGCTTCCCTGTAGTCTGGTCAGCCAGATCACTTGTGTCCTAGTTGTTGTGCCCTGTTGGGCTGTTTCAGACCAGTCAGGCTTGACATTTGTGGTTTGAGATCAACGTGATTCTTCTGCTTTCTTCATGAGACCTTTGACCATCTTTACTGAGCTCTCTACAAGGCCACTTGATCTGGGATAATGTGGGCTAGATGTTATGTGCTTGAACCCCCATTCTTTGGCAAAGTCAGCAAATTCACTACTTGCAAACTGTGGACCATTATCTGATATAAGTTCACATCGAACACCAAATACTGTTTTCAAGAATGCAATGACTGCTTTGCTAGATGTCGATTGAAGTGTTCCAACTTCTGGGTAGTTCTGGTAGTCTGGCAATACTACTGTATTGTCTTTGTGTTTGTGTGGGAGTGTAAGATGGTTAATATATATTCCGATGTAGTTGTACATCTTTAATTTCACAAAAAACAAATTCTTTGCATTTTTTTTTTTTGCACTTGCCGTGAGTGTATGTTATAACCGTAACCATGGGCGTCATCGCCATTAAATCTGAGGGGGACATGTCCCCCTCACATTTCATAATTATTCGTTTGGACTCCCCCCACATTTAACATAAAATATTCGTTTTATGCCAGTGTGTCCCCCCCACATTCAAAATGCCTCTGATGCCCCTGACCATAATGTAGACAGGAGGCAGACCCCGAATTGCAGGAGAACAGGAGCTTTATTAGATAGCCGGGTGCAGACAAAGCTAAATCGGAGTCGGGACGGAAGCAGGAGGTCGAAAGCCGGGGAGGTCAGTCCTACAGGTAGGCACGGGGCGAGATGACAAAGGGGAAGGAGGGACGATGGTCATGGGTTGGGAGCACAGGGCAGGCAGGCTGGGCAGGCGGGAGAGGGCAGGCAGGCAGGGCAGGCGGGAGAGGGCAGGCAGGCTGGGCAGGCGGGAGAGGGCAGGCAGGCAGGGCAGGTGAGACAGGCAGGCAGGATGCAACAGGCAGGACAAGCAGGAAACATGGCAACGATACTTCGCAACATTTGCGAGGAATACTCTGGTTTAAGAAGCGGAGGTAACGAGAGGAAATTGCCTGCAGCTGCTACTGTACGTCCCGCCTGTGTGGGCGTGACAGAACCCTCCACCTGACAGGTCTGTGCGGATGGCCCCGCGGCCGGGGAGCGAGTTTGGACAGATGGGTGCGGTGATCATGCCAGGGTCCAGGATATCCTTCGTGGGCACCCAGGAGCGTTCTTCCGGACCGAACCCCTCTCAATCCACCAGATATTGAAGAACTCCCGCCCGACGGTGTCCAGGACTCCACAAATTTGGTACCCCCTTGAGCTGTCCTGTGAGGTGTGAGGAGGTGGAACAGCCACGTTATCGGGTGGGTGCACTGGGCCGTAACGCACTGGTTTCAGGAGCGAAACATGGAAGGCTGGACAGATGCAGTACATGCTTGGAAGCTGAAGGCGGAAAGAGTTCAGACTCACTTGCCGCATAATCCTGAAAGGGCCGATAAAGCAAGCCAACAACTTACGACATGAGGGGAGCTTCAGGTTGCGGGTGGAGAGCCACACCCGTTGGCCTACGTGGTTAGTGGGGGCCAAACGTCAGTGTCTGTCTGCACTCCAAGTTGCGGTGGTCTGTGAAGACCAGGAATGGATGTCGAGCCCTTTCTAGCCAGTGCCTCCACTCCTCCAGAGCGAGTTTGATGGCCAGGAGCTCTCGATCCCCTACATCGTAGTTGCGCTCAGCTGGGGAGAGTTTCCTAAAGGAATAGGCACAGGGGTGTCGATGACCAGTTACCAGATGTCTCTGCAGGAGGACAGCTCCCACTCCTGCTTCGGAGGCATCCATCTCCACCTTGACGGGGAATTCTGTAACTCTATAACTTTGTTCCCTGCATGGCCCCCGTACTACAGACGATCCTGTCCAACACACAGCCCTGAGTCCCTCACATACTGTGGTCAGTTAGTGAGGTAGTCCTGGATCCATGTGGAGAGGTGATGGTCCACTCCTGTGTACTCCAGCTTGTCCCTCAGGATTGTGGGTAGGATAGTGTTGAAGGCACTGGAGAAATCAAAGAACATGATTCTCACGGTGCTCCCAGCAGTCTCCAGGTGAGAGAAGAAACAATGTCGGAGGTGGATGACAGCTGGGCAAATTCAAAACAGGAATAGTAAGGGTGACCAAGACATGCACCACTGACAACCTTCTATATGTCTAACACCCTTCCATGGTGGAACACTGCACTCTGTACCAAAATGCAGGATCTCAGTGTCTGAGTGCCAAATCATATTCAATTTATTTCTGTTTGAAGCCTTGTTACATATACCGTGCTCTTCAATTTTGTAGAAAAATAAAAATAAAATCAATTGTTTAAAAAAAATTCTCAGTTGCGAAGACCTAAACAAACTACAGGAAACCGTCACTAACTGGGAAGCTGGAACAGACAGAGTCAGACAGACAAGATAAGAGACACTAAAACACTTTTTCATGCTAGATTTTGTCCTACAATCCAAAGAAAGAGTGAAGAATGTGATGTGTCAGCTGTGCTCATTTTTAAGTGCTAAATTCATCAAAGGAAACTTTGCCATCTCACTTATGCACACATACACAGTGTAGATGAGGCACACAAAACACATATTTACAGTAACCTGTGTCTGCAATATTGTATCAGCAGTCACAAGCAATAAGTAAGACATAAATTAAGTAACTATATGTAGTAAATTTGAAGACTCCATATTTTATGTAAAACAGCTTTTATACAAGTGCATTTTTGGCAGCAATATGAATAAAATAATAATAATATAAAAAATGACTTCACCGTCATTAAAACCCTGGCTCAGCGGGCTAAATGTAGTGCAAACTGCATGCCCTGCTGCCACGTAAGCGGCAGCAGTGTTTGTGTGTGAGAGAGTGAGCAAGGTGTGCCAAGGCCTTAAAGGCACCTGGTACCAGCAAGTAATCACAGGTGAGCCTCAGGGTAAGCAGGTAAAGGCAGGTAAGCGGCGGCAGTGTTTGTGTGTGAGAGTGATCAAAGTGTGCTGAGGCCTTAAAGGGACCTGGCACCTGCAGGTAATCACAGGTGAGTCCAGAAGATCACGTCCATTGCTGTTTGTCAGGGTGCTGCCATGCTTGATGGCTGTTTCCATGACAGTGCCTGTGAATGGCCGACGTCCTCCTGAACTCAGACCAACCTCACTTCCATCCACAGTCACGATACAAGGCAGAAGGTAATGACTGTCCTGCAAATCCTGCTTTACATAGTTAAACTAGCTTTGTAGACCAGCCCAGAGCTCTGAGAACTGGATGAGGAACTTATCTAGATATTGTATACAGATTTCTTTATGGAGTGACAAATAGTGGGACGATTATTGTAATCGGGGTAAAAAGTAAAAAAAAAAAAAAATAGTTGAGAAGATGCGTTGATCTGTTCAGTCTGACCATGTACTCGCTTTGGACTCAGTACAGACCAATGGCATTGACATACCTAGACTATGACCAAAGACATTTTCTTTGTTTTCACAAACTACATGATGAGTGGTATTTCTCTGAGGGCATAAGGGAGCTACATGAGAGGTGCTGTGGTGATATGAAGCCCATGCCCTCCATTATGCAAAGGTTTTCTGGGTCCGTTTGCTCTTTGGGACGCCTCTTATTAACCCAGGTAAGATCATTAGTCCTTCTTTCATTGGCTATTTCCTGTTATCTGGGGCAAAATATTTATAGGGGCTGGTGGAACAGTGTCCAATGAAACATTTAACTACATGAAAGTTTACTTCCTCAGTAACACCCCCTTGTCAAACATAACATGGTGTGAGGGAGATCCAGTAAGACTATGGAACTCCTCTATATTTAATAGTAAAAAATATTTCAAGTAGAAGTCGAATGCATAAGTGTTGCTCAAGTGGGTATTCTTGAATTAATTGCTTTTTGTGTGGTTTCAGCAGATAATGTAACAGTTCTTCCTTGCTGACCTCCCATGTAGGTTAAATTTGTCTCTTTCTAATGTTTGGCTCTGACATTTTCACATGGACTGTGGCAAGACCTGCCTGTTGTTATGTCCCGGTCGAGGCGTAAACAGGGAGAACAGGGTATGGGGAGGGAGAAAGGAAGGAGAAGGGGATGGAGGAAAAAGAAATGACTGATAGAAATTGCTATAGTTAAGAGAGAATGTATTTTAGCCAGTGCTGAAAGGAACTTTTCAAAGCTGAAACTTATCAAAACTTACTTAAGATCAGCAACGTCACAGGAATGGCTCAATGGCCTGGCAATTCTGTGCATCATTCGTGAGGTATGTGACACAGTATCATATGCTGATGTAACCAATGACTTTGCACCTAAGACGTCCCGCAAAGTTAACATCTAAGGATTCTCGTGACGGATGACTGCTATGCTCATCTTTCATTTTTTTGCATCAGTGTAATTTCATACTGCACATTAAAATGACTGTTTTATGTAGAAAGCATTTCTGTTACAGTTAATAGCATTATTTTGGTTTGTTATTTTGTATTTTAAATGTGACACCTCATCACATATTTTACTGTTTTCAGTGCATTGGCACATGTGCGCACTGACCAAGTTTCTATTGCTGTTTGAAATTTAATTATTTTATTTACAGTTTTTGTGCTCACTGTGCCGCGGAGCATGCCCGGAAATGTCAATCCGCTCTTACGCGGAAGTCAGTTCTTCGACGCAGGTAAGATTATTCTCAAGAGATACAATTAATAATAACCATATTTAACGTACTTATGTACTGGGATTTAATATTTTTAACATGATTAAATGTTAATATACATCCGTACAGTACGTAATGTCCAGGAGTAAAAGTTACAGAATATTTTGCGTTTTCGAATGTAAATCGAATTAACACGACGATAATATTTAATTACTCAATCACGAGTTCGCTAAATAGGCTATACAGTGTTGCGTCAACATGTACCGGGGCTAGGTTATAATATTTTGAAGGTATATGAAGTTTGTTTTAAAACTTTGGGAATAAATGTTAATATACATCCGTACAGTACGTAATGTCCAGGAGTAAAAGTTACAGAATATTTAAAGTTTTCGAATAATAACATGTTAATCGAATTAACACGACGATAATATTTAATTACTCAATCACGAGTTCGCTAAATATACAGTGTTGCGTGAACATGTACCGGGGCTAGGTTATAATATTTTGAAGGTATATGAAGTTTGTTTTAAAACTTTGGGAATAACTGCTATCGTGCCGAAGATCCTGGGTTATACTTAAGGCCAGGGGCGCCGCCAGAAATCTTGGGCCCCATGAAAGATTAGAATTTTGCCACCCCCCCTTTTTGCGAAAAGGTAAAGCCCCTAACAGGGCCCCATGTCAGTGCTGGGCCCCTAGAATCGTTCTAACCTTTCCCCCCCTGGCGGCGCCCCTGCTTAAGGCTTAACATTTTATTAAACAAGGTTAAACCACGGCACTCCTGTACTCTCCAATCTGAGGGGTGTTGATTAATTGTAGACCAGTCATATTTCTCTGTTCTGCTTGACCAGCCTAAACGAAATGTTCCGCAAGTCTGGTGTTAATAATAGGTAAAGACAACTTTGTTAACGTGAAAAGCTCATTAACTCGGTCCCAGGTAGGAGTTAAAAACAGCGCCTTTCATTTCCCCCGCCTGGACTTCCGCAAACCTACAGACCGCCGTCATTCTCGGGTTAATATACAGTAGCATGTCTTAGCATGTCTTCCCCCTAGTTGTGACATCAGTACATGGCTTTTTTTTAACTTTTTTTTTCTTTCTTTATTTAGAGGTATATATAATTACAACATTACAGTATAACAATGTATGACAAAATATAATCAGAACCAGTAAGACATAAACAGTGAACTATAAATAAATAACCTATTAACTACAAGTAAAAAAAAAAGGACAAATGTAAAAAGAAAGTTTATGTAACATTCATTAAATCATTGTATAATTTCACAAGTTTGGCACTTTTTCTGTTATTAACATTTTTAAGCGTTGTAATTATGTATTTGAAATCACAGAGAAAATTATATAATTTTGGGAGTATTGATGAAAATTTACATTTATGAATGTAATATTTTCCCAATAAAATAAATACATTTCCTATATATTCAATGTTGTATTTACCATGAGAAAAGTAACAAAATATATCACACATAGTAAAATTAATAGGTTCATTAGATTTCGAAGAAAATAATTTAGATAAATCAATCCAAAAAGTTTTAACAAGGGGACATTCAAAAAACAAATGAACAATGGATTCAATACTGACATTACAGAAATTGCAAATTAAATGAATATTACCAAATTTGGATGTAATCTCGTTTGTGGGGTATATATTATGCAAAATCTTTAAATGTACTTCTTTTGCTTTATTGGGGATACAAAATTTATAAGGTAATAGCCATGCTTTTTTCCCAATTGATCTTGTCTATTAAAGAGTTCCAAATAAATTTTCCTCTCGGAGTAACTCTTTTCCTTGACTGAAACACATTTCTTATATTTTTATTGCTACACTTTGGGTCATAAATACATTTATCATTCACCAAAAAATTTTGCTCCCTTTTTACAATCATTTGAAATGATAAATGACATTTCATTAAGTGAACAAGACCATTAGGTATAGCTTTCACAGTTGTAAGAAATTCCTTATGAACAACAGGGAAATTGTATTTAAACATGAATTCAGAATAGGAATAAAATTTCCCTTGAGGATCTAGTATATCACAAAGATAATCAATACCTTTTTCATGCCAATTCTTAAGAAAGATTGACTTGTTCTTTAATAAAATACATTCATTGTTCATCAGTACATGGCTTTGCGGGCTTAGCAGCAGAGAGAAGCATCATTCTGGGTAAACGCGTCCACCGAATAAAAAAAAAAACAGCATTCTAATATAAAGAAGCATATATACATGTGTGTGTGTGTGTGTGTGTGATATATATATATATATATATATGCGCTATGGAAAAGTATGGGATTTGATTTGGGTGTTTTCAGGGGGGCAGCGTGCGGCGCAGTGGGCTGAGCCTCTGTGCCCGCGATCGGAGGGTCACCAGGCCAAGCCTGGCCTCTGCATGTCTGTGGGCCCTTGCCGAAGGCCTTTAACCCCCAACTCTCTCTGGGCACCGTTATGGGTGGCTGTTCTTAAGTACCTCACTTGCTCCCATGATGGGGTAGACAGAAGGAGGATTTCCCCATTTAGAACGAGAAATATCATTCATTCTAAGTTTGAATTAATATGGAAATACTTCAGTGCTTACAGGCCACTGCAATAAATTGGCAAACTACCTAATCTAAAAAAATTTATGTATTAATGTTTTTGATGAAGTCACTGAATTAACAGATGACTGATGTCAACCCTCCAGCCCCAAAGTACGGAATTTCAAAATGTAAAAGGAGCGTATATGATCATCATGTGTTGACATTTTGTGGTCACTAACCTCTGTATCTAATTAGTATTTTATGTAAAAGTAGCTCTGATAGTTAAGATGTTTTTACAGATACAAAGCAATAATGACACATGGCAGAAACATGCTGAAATTTGGCACTGGATCTCCTTAGTGCGTGTAAAACTATGTGTCAGATTAACAGGATGGAGACCCAGTGTGTGCTGAGTACTACGTATTGTGTATGTATGTATTTAGGAATCATCTGGTCTGGATCGGCACAGAAATGGATGGATCTGCTTCTGAAATGCGCCCCCCTGTGGGGTGTAAAGGAAAGAGCCCTGAGAGGTAACAGTGTTACAGCCACTAGCATGCATGTCTCTGTGGGTCTATAGTCAGGCCATAACATAAAGGTAAACTGGGCTCCTAGGGCTGCCTCAGTGGGCAGCACTGTAATACTGTATGTGCAGGTTAGTAAAAAGACCTCGCCATCTTCTTTCTTTGCCTTCTTTCAACTAGTTCTTTTATACTGGAGGCAAGTAACAGATCATCCCTCCTATCCAAAATGGCCACATAACAAATAGATATATACACAAGAAATATGCATGGTGGTGCAGTGGTTAGCACTGTTGTCTCATACCTCTGGGACCTGAGTTTGAGTCCCTTCCATAGTTTTGCATGTTCTCCCTGTGTCATTGTGGGGTTTCCTCTGGGTATTCTGGGTTTCCCCCACAGTCCAAAAACATGTTGAAGCTGATTGGAGTTACCAAATTGCCCGCAGGTGTGCATGTGTGAGTGAATGGTGTGTGAGTGTGCCCTGTGATGGGTCGGTGCCCCATCCTCGATAGCTCCCTTATCCAGAACAGGATAAGGAGTTACAGAGATTGGATGGATGGAAAAAACAGCAACAGCCAAGACTAACGATGGATATTTTAACAATGATACTAAACCTTTCCTACTATAATTTAATTATAGGTGAGACAATTTATTTCAAAATAAAGTTAACTGTAAACTAGTCTGTTTACATCAAGAGCTTCCCAGCATA